CTGAGGCAGGAGAATCGCTTGAACCCAGGAGGTTTTAGTGAGCCAAGACCACGCCATTGCACTCCAGCCTGGGGAACAAGAACAAAACTCCGTCTCAAACTATTAAATAAATAAACCAGTGATTCTCAGCGCTGGCTGTGCACAGGATCCCTGGACCTTTAAAATGTGTGGATTGCTCGTCCTCCCCAAGAGAGGCCAACTTCAGGAGCCCAGACAGCAGCCCAGGGGGTGAGATAGCGTCATCTCGTCTCTCCCTGTTCTTCTCTGCTACCTACAACTAAACAGACCTGGAAATGATACGGCAAACGGTTGGTCATAGGAGAACTCTAAAGGTGGGAACAGCAAAGTGGCCTGGCGAGGCAGCCTCAGGACCTCAGGGAACAGCAGCCCTGCATGCCCACTCCCACCGCCACCCAGCGGCAGGAGGTGGCCCAGGCCTGCAGCCTCCCAGCCTCCCAGCCTCCCATGCAGTGGCAGAAGGTGACGAGGCCGGTGTTTTCCTCCCGCAGCCACACTAGTAGAGGGCAGCAGAGCGAGACTCCGTCTCAAAAAAAAAAAAAAAAGAAAAATTACCCATCACACCAAGAACCCCAAAGATCAATGATTTGAATGAAAAAAGACAGCAGAAGGCCGGGCGTGGTGGCTCATGTCTGTAATCCCAGCACTTTGGGAGGCCAAGGTGGGCGGATCACAAGGTCAGGAGATCAAGACCATCCTGGTCAACATGGTGAAACCCTGTCTCTACTAAAAACACAAAAATTAGCTGGACATGGTGGCGTGCACCTGTAGTCCCAGCTACTCGGGAGGCTGAGGCAGGAGAATCGCCTGAACCTGGGAGATGGAGGTTGCAGTGAGCTGAGATTGTGCCACTGCACTCCAGCCTGGGCGACAGAGCAAGACTCCGTCTCAAAAAAAATAAATATATAAAAAAGAATGGCTGAAAACGTAACAATTTTGGCAAAAGAAAGAGACATAAACCTACAAGTTCCAGAAACCAAGTGAGTCCCAAAGAAAGAAGATAAACCCCAAAAATCTGCACCAAGACATATCATAATTAAATTTCTGAAAATTAAGGATAAAAAAATGTTGAAAGCAACCCGAGAGAAAAAACAGAGGGGAAACACCAATTCGAGGTTTCTCATCAGAAACCACAGAGGCCAGCAGGAAGTGCGCTGACATCTTTCACGTGCTGAAACAGCAGAAGTGGCCGCATGAATCCTGTGTTCAGTGAAATATCCTGCAGACCTACCCCTGAGGAATCTTCTCCAAACAGAAAGGAAATGATAATAGAAGGCTTGGAACTTCAGAAAGGAAAGGAACTTCAGAAAGGAATAGGTAAAACCGGGGACAAAGCGTGATAGACAGCCCTCTTCTTGGAAAGAATCATATTCTTACATCACATTGGATGGTTGAAGCAAAACTTCTAGAACCATCTGATACGGGTGCTCAAAGGAAATAGAAGACCTCCCTGAGACAGTTGTAGTCAAAGTGGGGAGGATAACACAGGCTTCGTGGACGAAAGGTTTCCACCTGCGTGTGAAGCGGTTAAAAGTCAAGACCCGTCGGCGGCAGCCTGGGCACTGGGAACCTCACACGCTGTCCAGGTGACTCCAGGGGCAGGCAGGTGGAGGCCCTCGGGCTTAAGAGGGGTGCAGGACACCACCGAGGGTGTTCTCTGTTCTCGAGGCGGGAGGCCAGTGTGCATCAGAATGGTCTGGAAGCCTTGTAAAAACACAGATCCCTGGACCCCAGCCCCAGAATTCTGACACAGGAGGTCTGGGGTGGGGCCCAATAATTTGCATTTTTGACAAGTTCCCTGGCAAGGTTGGGGCTGTTAGCTGGGGATGCCAATTTGAGAACCACCCCTGTGGCACCTTTGCTGATAAGCACCTCCCGCTGAGCTGGAGGTGTCCTCCGGATCCCAGAGCGTGCTGGGCTCTGGGCATAAAGGAGGAGGCAGGTGTCTCCTGGAGGAATCCCAGGACTGCAAGGCAGGCGGCCTCGTCCGGCGTCCCAGTGCTGCCGCTACCTGGCTGGGTGACCTCAGGCAGGTTCCTGCACGTCTCTGGGCCCTGACTCCCCTTCTGTACGTGAGAAGAGCTGGCTAGGCCTTTTACCTGGGGGTGCCTCGGAGGGGCTGGGAGGGGGAGGAATAGCCCCAAAGGTCTGGTCCCCAACCCTCTCCCCACGTCTGTCTTCCCAGCTCCTCATTTGCCTGTTTTGCATATCAGCGTTCACATAAAAGCTCGCATGTCGAGGGAGTTCCTCTGCTAAGATAAGTTTGAGGACCTTGATCTTGATGTTTAAAAGGCCTTCCTGACCCACATGTGGAACCTTCCACTGGCCACCCTGTTGCAAACAAGTCCCCAGCTGAGGCTCCTCCCACAGGCTTCTCTGTGTCCCCATATGACCTTCATGGAATGTCTTCTCTGTCCTCATTGAGTCTGTGAGGAACCCCCAAATGAAACCCCCGGGAGAAGCATCCTTTGCTCAGAAATGAGGTCCCTGGAGTGGGCGGGTGGGTGGTTCTGTGCACAGAACCTGCCTTGCCCCTGGAGGCACGGTCCTTGCGAAAGACATGCAGCCTTGTGAGCACTGAAGGATGTGAGGCACCTTCCCCTCGGAGGCCTCATGGGCAGCCTGGCAGCTCCCAGGAGTGAATGTGGGCATCTGGCCCTATACATGGCTGGCCTGCGCCACTGGGGCCCGGTACTGGGGTGACACCGCCAGATGAGGCAGGTGTGGGCCGTGCTCTGTAAGACCCCACAGGCTAGTGGAAAGACAGACAGTTTAGGGACCCAGGACAGGTCTTTTAAGGATGCTTCCCTGGGTGTGGAGGGCCCTGCCTCTCCAGGGTCCACGCTCTGCCCCTTCCTTCCCAGAATGCAACCACACCCCCTCTGAGCCAGGCAGGCGTTCACTTCCTCCCTGCTCTCCCATCACATGACGTTGAAGAGGTTACTTTGGAGGTCTCAAACTTCCAGCAAGCTCCCAGGCCCACCCAGGCCCACCCAGGGACATGAGCGATGGAGGGAGCTCGGTGGGGGGCTGGGAAAGGCTGCCCCCTCCTGGCAGCCCCAGCGAGCCTTGCCCCACAGGGAATCCAGAGTTTGTTGTCTCAGACTAGCCCTCTACTATTTCACGAAATTTGGATTTTAATATGAAGCCCCCCAATTGCAAGCAACTCAGGATTTTATCTATTTATTTATTTGTTTTTAGAGACAGGATCTCATTCTGTCTCCCAGGCTGGAGTGCAGTGGTGTGAGCATAGCTCACTGCAGCCTCGAGCTCCTGGGCTCAAGGGATCCTCCCACCTCAGCCTCCCAAATAGCTAGGACCACAGGCGTGCACCACTGCAGCCGTCTCATTGCTTTGTGCAGGGGTGGTCTTGCTATGTTCAGCCCAGGATGGTCTTGAACTCCTGGCCTCAAATGATTTTCCCTCCTTGGCCTCCCAAAGCTCTAGGATTACAGGCGTGAGCCAATATGCCCAGCCAAGAAGTTTATTAAAATAAAATTGCCTCCAGGCCCCATGTGCTTGATGGTGGGCCTCCATTTGCCACCTCTGGCACAGGATGGCACAGCTCTGCTGTTCCTCCAGGGTTCCAGAGACTGTCCCTTCCTGACTCTGCCCAACTCCCCTGTCTGTAAAGTGAGGGGCTTGGCCCAGGTGCCAGGTGGTGCCCAGGCCACAGCCTGTTCCTGAACACAGGGGCCAGCTGGGCTGAGGTTCTGTGGCATTTCCGGTGTCATGAGCAGGCTCAGGACATTACCCCTCCGTGGCTTCCTCCTCAGTCAGTGCCCTGGGAACAGAAGGTCACCACTGAGGCAGGGCATGGTCCTCAGGGGGCCTCCCCTGTGTTACTTGCCCAGCCTTGTCCACCCCGGTGGGAAGCCCCCCAGGGCTGCACCCCCCTCGCTGCTGCACCTAGTCTGCGCGCGTGACAAAGCTGTGCTGTGTCTGTTTCAGGATTCCCCTATTCCAAATCTGACCCTCTCCCAGGACATGGAAAGAATGGCTTGGACCAGCGGGTAGGTACTGACCCCTCCCTGGCCACGGGGTACTAACGATGGCTGTGAGGCTGAGCACGCTTCCCACAGCTTCTTGACCACGCAGCAGGAGGAGAGGCCCCGGGGACCCTGCGGCCCGCCTGCCTCTGCCTGATGCCCCATCCAGGGGCTGCCTCTGCCACCACTGCTTTTTCCCTACCAGGACCGGACCAGACCTGGGCAACACCCTCCCCACCCCGCCTCCCTGCCCCCGGCCCCAGAGACACCTCAGTGTGTGGGAGCAGGGGAGGCAAGGGCCACCCACGGTGATCAGGCCCAGCTCCAAGAAGCCCCTCCTAACCCTCTTCCTTCCTGTGGCGCTGAGCCTGACAACCTTCAAGGGCTGTTGCATTTGGTGAGCCTGTGTGAGCCAAGTGCCCACTTCCTTATCTGGGATGGCCTGGCCTTCACTGCTATTACTGTTACCGTGATTACATCAAATAATCCTTAGCATCCAAGGCTGTTACTTGAGGCTGCACGGAGATTGGATTAACTCGAAGTCAGGCTCTTTGGCTGCCCCCAGCTGAAGGCCGGTGCCATCTCCTACCCTGAGTTTGCTGACTCTTGGGGCATCTGAATATGAGCCCAGAAAATCTGGGGGCTGATTGCCTTGCAGAGGGGCCAGGTCCTGTTCCCCAGGACAGTTAACGCCTTAGGAAGAGCTGCTTGTGTTTGTTCCTCTGCCCACAGCCTCACAGGGGTCCCCGGTGAGGACCCCTAGGGTGGGGCAGGCTTGCTGGTCCCAGACGTCCCAACACACAGACACACGCACAGCCCAGGGGTCTCCCCACTGCACAAGGCAGCCTCGTCCTAGTCTGGAAATTTGTTCATAAACAGAGGCAATTCACCTCTCAACAGAGACCACTAAAAAACTAACCCCTTCTTTGTCGCACTGGAGCAGCCTTGGCTGTGTGTAACCCCTGGATGGCGTCCTCAGGCAGGTACTCTCCCCAGGGGCAAGGCCAGAGGACACCGTCTCCAGAAGCTGTGGGTGTCCTCTTGGGCTGGCATTTGTTCTTTCCATCTCCTTCAGGCTCTGTCAGACCTACTGCTGTGTTTTTGTCCAAGGCCCAGCCTCCCCGGATCTCCCCCAGGCCCATCCTCCCCAGATCTCCCCCAGGCCCAGGCACCTCTGCATGATTTGATTCTAGCCAACCCCACCCCCACCCAACGAACTGCTCTTCCCATTCTGGAATGGGCCTCACTGGGGACCATGCATGTGGCATGCTTCTTTGAATTTTCTCCAAAGGAATTCTCCACTCGTCTTCTTCCACATGGAAAGCAGGGGAGATAAGAGAGCTGGACCAATGTCCGCAGGACTCCTACAACACCAAGATGTGCAAATCCCTGAGCTCAATGTTAGGGGTCCTGGGGACAGTGGGAAAATTGTCTAGAATGTTCCCTTCTCACCTGGAACAGCTGTTCTCTGACCCTGGGGCTGGTGAGCGCAGTGTTCACAGTCCGGACCAAGCCAAGGTGTTCCACCACCCGAGTGAGGTCCTGGAGACTTTCCTCAATATATGGAAGGAAAGCGAGAGAACAGCATGGTCTGCATTTGTAGTCTTGCGTCACTGACGCTGGGGCTGTGCATCCTCTGGGAAGGTTCTTCTCTAGGCTCACGTGCTAAAATGGTGCAAATTGACGCCTCTCAGCATCTGCAGAGAAGGTCGTGGTCTCCAGATGCCGCATTGTTTGAGAACAGCCGATCCAGACATTCTGGCAGGGACCGTCTTCACTCCCTCTCCTAGAACTATTGAGAACAGAACCTCAAGCTTTACAGAATTAAGAACTAAACTTCTGTGAATGTGTTTCTCCTGCAGACTAAGGGGTAGGAAGGAGAGCGTTAGCTGGTGTGCTCTCTGCATGTGCTAGGAGAACTGATATGCACGGAATTCATCATCACGTGGAGTCTTAGCTTTTCACATTGCTTCTGGGGGAGATTGGTGAACATTATTACGGACTTCGCTTCGGGATTCTCTTTTCCCCGCTAATGTTCTTTCCTATTTTTTCACTCTTTCTAAGACTTTCATGTACTGTTATGCCTGTTTCTCAGTGAGAAGGCCAGATACTTGATCTTTCACATGACCAGCCTTTTGCAGGGTGGCCCTGCTCAGCACCTGGACTCATGCCCTTCCCCTGGAGATGCCCTGGGAGTGTGAGTCCGTGCCCTGTTGCTGATGGCCTACAGTGCTCCTAAGTCATTTGCTAGGTCGTTTCTTGATTTGCCTTTACTTCCAGAAACGATTCTGGGTGACCTCAAGCATAGATGCAGTGAGACCAAAATCCCGTGAACACCAAATTACAAAGGAGGAGAGAAGGAAACTACAGGAGAAAATTACATCAAAAAACAAACAAAAAAATATTACCTGAGAGGCAGGGCACAGTTGCTCATGCCTGTAATCCCAGCACTTTGGGAGGCCGAGGCAGGCAGATCACTTGAGGTCAGGAGTTCAAGACCAGCCTGCCTCCCCGTCGCTACAAAAATTTAAAAATTAGCCAGGTGTGGTGGTGGGCACCTATAGTTCCAGCCACTTGGGAGACTGAGGCAGGAGAATTGTTTGAACCTGGGAGGCAGAGGTTGCAATGAGTATTACACCACTGCACTCCAGCCTGGGTGACAGACCAAGACTTTGTCTCAAAAAAAAATATATATATATATATATATATATTTTACATGAGAAAAGCTGTCAAAGCTTACCTCTGAGCTTCCTGGTAGCCAAGGCATAGAGGCAATCATGGCAGTGACGTAGTCCTCACTGTCTGATGGAAGAGGGGAAATTAGTTCATCATGGGAAGCAAAGGCTTTCCTGGGCGTTCTTCCAGAAGGATTTGTTACAAGGGCCCAGTGACCCAAAGCACAATATGTCCTAAAGGTCATTAAAATGTCCTAATAGCCGAGCCTGCCACAGTGCCTGATGCATGGTAGACGCTCATAACCTACCCATGAAATGAATAGAGAACAGAGGCCTGCTACTGCTCTCCCTGTGGATGAGGCAGTAATGACTCTGACAGGTACCACCTGTCTGTTAATCCGAACGTGACCACTGGCGGCAGCAGGTCCTTGTGGTAGCTCCCTGGAAGAAGGCCCATTCTGAAAAAGCATGATGCTGACTGTGAGGAGACTGGGCTGTGCTGTTACAAGACAGAGACTGTCAGATTGGATTTTTTAAATCGCATGTGTTATCATAAGATGCACACTTAAAAACTACTTTTTAAGGATGAGCAAAAGGATAAGAAAGATACTAAAATCACAAAAGGCAAGCAAGAGTGGCAATAGTAATATCAAATAAAGTGAAAGTTAAGACTAAAAGGAGTTAATAAAAATTAATAGTATAAAAGGAGAACACTAATTCATTATGAAGGCGTAATTTAATAAAGCAGTTATAGCATTCATCAGCTTAAATGCCCCAAGCAACATGGCAATGCCAGATACCTTGATTAAATACAAGTATGGTGGGTGATTGGAATATGACTCTTTTGAAATAAAACAAATGAGGCTGGGCGCGGTGGCTCATGCCTGTAATCCTAACACTATGGGAGGCCGAGATGGGCAGATCACGAGGTCAGGAGATTGAGACCATCCTGGCTAACACAGTGAAACCCCATCTCTACTAAAAATGCAAAAAAAAATTAGCTGGCCTGTAGTCCCAGCTACTCGGGAGGCTGAGGCAGGAGAATGGCGTGAACCCGGGAGGCAGAGCTTGCAGTAAGCCAAGATCACGCTACTGCACTCCAGCCTGGGTGACTGAGAGAGACTCCATCTCAAAAATAAATAAATAAATAAATAAATAAATAAATAAAACAAATGGGGCCGGGCAAAGTGGTTCATGCCTATAATCCCAGCACTCTGGGAGGCCAAAGTGGGTGGATCACTGGAGGCCAGGAGTTTGAGACCAGCCTGGCCAACATGGTGAAAACCCATCTCTACTAAAAATACAAAAATTAGCCAGGCATGGTAGCACATGCCTAATATCCCAGCTACTTGGGCACAAGAATAAAGAATGCTTGAACCCGGGAAGCAGAGGTTGCAGTGAGCTGAGGTTGTTCACTGCACTCTAGCCTGGGGCAACAGAGCAAAACTCTGTCTCAAAAAAAAAAAAAAAAAAAGACAAATGTACCTAGTGAACAAAAAATTAATTATGTACATAGAAAAATAGTACAAATAGCAAACAATCGAATAGGTATATGAAAAATATTTATATCTCTTGAATCGGATTTTCAGATGTTCAGAAAATACTTATTAAAATGTTTATGCATGTGACTACAAGACAGGCATTAACAAATTTTAAAAGTTTGGTATTTCCAAACTGTAGTGCTGCAAAGAACACATGCGTTAGCATCAGACAGCCTTGAGTTCAAATCACAGCTCTGTTTTTGGGCAAGTTACTGAAATTTTCTGAGTCTCTATTCTCTAGTCTTTAAAAAATTATCCTTACCTCTTGAGGGTTTTTTTGAGGACAAATAACATTATAGTTGTGAAATTTTTTATAAGCTCCATAGCATGGTTCCCATATGAGTAATTGTTTAAAAAGCAATTCCTACTCTATCTTGCTTCCACTAACTGCTGAGTAAAGTAACACATTCCAATGTGAGCTTTAGCAAGAAAAGAAGGGTGACCAGTGGCAAACGGCCATAATCTCAATTCGTATTAGCAATTTCAGTATAATTTTTGGAAAATAAAACACATGGGCTCAAATATTTACAGTCCTATGTATTTGCCATATGGTCTCAGGCAAGTTGCTTCGTCTGTCTCAGGCTCATCTGTAAAATGACAGAGCTCACCTTCTGGAGTTGCCACAAAGGTTAGAGAATGTATGTGTAGAGCCACAGGCACATAAGAAGTGCTAAACAGCCTGGGCGCGGTGGCTCACGCCTGGAATCCCAGCACTTTGGGAGGCCAAGGTGGGTGGATCACTTGAGGTCAGGAGTTCAAGACCAGCCTGGCCAACATGGTGAAACCCCGTCTCTACTAAAAATACAAAAATTAGCTAGGCATGGTAGCGCATGCCTGTAATCCCAGCTACTCGAGAGGCTGAGGCGGAGAATCGCTTGAACCCAGGAGACGGAGGTTGCAGTGAGCCGAGATCACGCCCCTGCACTCCAGCCTGGGTGACAAAGTGAGACTCTGGCTCAAAAATAAAATAAAAATAAGTAGTAAACAAATGGGACAGGTAAATCATGTATTGCTTTTAAAATCCCCGGTGCTGCCACTGAGCGGCGTAGGGGGGTCAGCCAGGAATATGCCTGGTGGTGCTGCCTTTGTGGTGCCCTCTGGCCACTTAGCTCTCCTGCTGGTCCACACGTAAAGGCAGTAACTCAAGACCCCTTGCACCTGAAAGGCCTTGAACACCCCATCCCCACTTTGCACTTACAAGACCAGAAGTAGACCCCACTTTCCCTGCTCTAGACCTAAAAAGTATTCCCCCTCCTCCACCTGGTAGATGCCTCATCTCCGCCCTAGAGTCTCCACCTTATCTCAGAGCCTGGAAGACCAAAGGAAGCTGGTTTTGCTGCTGGAGAGTGAGTTTCCAACCGTCCAAGGTGAAAGTGGTGCCCTGTGAGTTTTGGAAGCCCATTATGCAGAGCAGCAGGCACTAGGGGGCAGCATTTCTCTTTCACATTAGACATGCCAGGCGGCAAAGGCAAAGCCATAGCTTTATCCTAGAGGTTCCCTGACCAGAACAGGTGCACCTGGGGTGCTAGTCTGAGTCTAAGAAAATGTATGAAAACATTGTTCTTGAGTGGAGACGGTGGCTTACATCTGTAATCCCAGTGCTTTGGGAGGCTGAGGCGGGAGGATTGCTTGAGGCCAAGAGTTTGAGACCAGCCTGGGCAGCAGAGCAAGACCCCATCTCTAGTTTTTTTTTTTTTTTAAATTAGCCAGGCATGGCCAGGAAGGATGGCTCACACCTATAATCCCAGTGCTTTGGGAGGCTGAGGTGGGCAGATAGCTTGAAACCAGGAGCTTAATACCAGCCAGGGCAACAAAGGGAGACTCCATCTCTGCCAAAAAATATACAAAAATTAGCCAAGTGTGATGGTGCGTGCCTGTAGTCCCACCTGCTCAGAAGGCTGAGGTGGGAGGATTGCCCAGGAAGTGGAGGTTGCAGTGAGCTGAGATCGTGCCACTGCACTCCAGTCTGGGTGACAGAGCCAGACTCTCTTAAAATTAAAAATTAAAAAATAGTTGCATGGCCAGGCACAGCGGCTTATGCCTGTAATTCCAGCACTTTGGGAGGCCAAGGTGGGCGGATCACCTGAGGTCAGGAGTTCAAGACCAGCTTGGCCAACATGTGAAACCCCATCTCTACTAAAAATACAAAAATTATCTGGCCATGGTGGCGGGTGCCTGTAATTCCAGCTACTCAAGAGGCTGAGGCAGGAGAATCGCTTGAACCCGGGAGGTGGAGGTTGCATTGAGCCAAGATCACGCCATTGCACACCAGCCTGGGTGACAGAGCGAGGCTCTGTCTCGAAGAAAAAAAGAGATTATTTGTGAATACTCCTAAAGGGAAGAGTTATTTTGTGAAGTGGTGGAGGCAAGAGGACTCTGGCTCAGGGTCCAGGCCCAGAACTAGGGTGAGGGAGCAAAGCACTAAAGAAAAACTGCAGTCAAGATAAGTCAGATTTTAATGCAATATTTTTAGAAATCCAAATTAATGCAAAACATTCATGATAAACAAAATAGCAAAAATGTAAATAGAGACTGGTTCCAGTCCTCTGCCTGGGTGCTTACCCAACTCGTGAGCCTGACCCTAGCCCTCTGACTCCAGCTCTGCGTCAGGAAGAAGGTCCGGCTTCCCTCGGAGCCTCTGTTTTCCTGTTTCTGGTGAAGGGCTTCGGACTCGGTGCTCTGAGGTCTTCCTGCTCTCATGCTTTCTAGGTTATAACCGGCTCCTCACTGATCGCCTGCTGCAAAGCTCGCGTTGAAAACACTTTCCCCTGTAACAGACCCGCTGGGCTGAGTGTACCATCTCTCCTTTGGCTGCAGAACTCTCCCCACTGAAATGTGATCCCTGTACCCAGTTTCAGCAGCGCTGGCCAAGAGCCCTGACCCCGTTTGAGACCCCATTGCAGGTGCTGGGGAACGGAGTGTGAAAAAGACATTTTCTTCAACAGGCTGTGTCCACCGTGGGCAGCCAAGGCCCAACCACGACAGAGCGTGGCTCCGGGTTCATAGTGCAAACCCCGGGCGCCAGTGAGGTTCAGGAGGTGGGCAGGGGCAGGACTGACAGACCCCTGCGGGGTCTCAGTGCATGCTTTAGAGGGTGGGGAACCCTCCATAGAGGTTTGCAGGACGTGTCGATGATGCTTCCAGGTGGACAGAAGGGAAAGAGTTCCAGACACTAATAGTTGCAGTGCACTAAAGTGGCAGAGTTTGCTGATGAATGCCAGGAGCACCTGAGACAGGGGCAGGAGCTCTCGGGCCCATCACCCCTCAGAGTGTCACCCTTAGTCATTGTCAGAGGCACCGCCACCTTGTATGGGCGCTTACAACATGCCGGGTGACATCCCAGAGGCCTTATAGACAGGGGCTCCTTTAACCTTTGAAACAGTCACACACACAGCTGCCGTGAGTACCACAGTTTCCAGGGAGGTAGGAGCCCCCTCGTTTTGGAGCATTTGGGGTGGATGGACTTTGACTCACACACACAGCCGCGTGCGTCCGTGTAGCTCTAAGAATACCCTAGGAGTTCCACGATCGTGCACAGTGCCAGAGGATGGCAGCCAGTCTTCCCTCTTGGCCATCTTACAGGGAACAGAGGGCCCCGGGTGGACCCTGGGGCTCCCCGAGCACCTGGGACAGCACTTTCTAGGCGCTGTGCTCAGGAGCCCACCGTGTGGAGGGGACAGATCACCAATGGGGAACCGCAGAGCGCCATGCCTAGCGCCGCGTGCACAAAGAAATGGTGCTGAGCCCCCCGCTGTGATCCGCGCCAGCTGCAGAGCGGGGAACCCAGGCCACCTGGGAGCAGCTTTCAAACGGGGTTGGAGCCGTCCACACAGGAAGGGTCTGTGGAGCCGCCCAGGCGGTGGGCATCCTATGAGCAAGAAAGCTGGCCAGTCCCACGGGCGCAGCATCCTAGATTCTCCTCTTCCTGAGCCACCGTCGCTGTCCTTCCATCACCTACACCCCACCTCTGTGCTCAGGACACCCTACTCCCCAGGCAGTGTGAGGACCGCAGCCTCCAAGAGGCAACATCTTTTCCCCGCCCACCCACATGCCCTCGTGCCGCCTGTCTCTTGCCGCCCAACCTCTCTTTCTCTTCCAGAATGCCAATCTGGCCCCCTGTGGAGCAGACCCGGATGCCAGCTGGGGCATGCGAGGTACACGGAGCGGGGACCCTGTGGGTCTCTGGCTGGGGCAGGGGTCGCTAACACATTCCACAAGTCTCCTTCTGAAACCGCCCCGTCCACAGCCTGCAGAAATCTGCGGGGCAGGAACACCTCAGGGGAGGGCCTGCTGCTTTCCCTGCCTCTCCCGGCCGACAGTCAGTTCCACTCCCAGCTAGCTTTACCCGCGATGCTCCCTTTCTCCCATCCGTGGCCACGGTGGCCCTGTCCTGCATTGTATGGCACGCTGTGTCACTTGGGGAAGCAAAGTCACAGGCACAGGCTTCCAGGGTCTGAGCGGGACGGCGCTGGGCCAAACCCTGCCTGCGTCTTGCTCGCCGTGTGGCTCCTGGCATGCAGAGTGACCCTCCGGGTTCAGCAGGGCTGCTAGGAGGTTTGTGTCACCAGAGCGGTCCTGTGGCAGGTGCCTGGCAGAAGGCACTGCTTACCTCCTGGTCAGCTTCTGTCCCCGAGAGTGGCAGGGGAACCTTGCTCTGCTGGGTTGGGTTGCATGGGGACGGAGAGCATCAGTGCGCCACAGCCTGCTCCCTCTAAGTGGCCTTCGGTCCCCGGGGCCTCGGAGCTGGCAGATCCAGAACCACATGGGGCATGTGGGGAAACTCAGGGACCGACTTCCCGACACAGGGTCTCCCTTCTGAGACTGACTTGAGGACCAGGTTCTGTAGATAACTGCTTTCTGTGGGTTCTGTGTGCATGGAGGCCCTACGATCCACACTGTTTCATTTTTGTGAAAAGACGCTTTCAGTCTGGAAGTAAGACATTAGGGAGCAGAGCTGAGTAGTTTGAAAAGGAGAAAATACAGAGTTAGTAAGGTAAGACAGTGAGAGATGGGAGAGACTCAGACTGTAGCGGGATGTCAGTCTCCACAACACCCCGTAAAAGTTTCCCTTGAAATGCCCACTGCCCAGGAAGTAAACTGAGGCTGGCATCTTTCTCAGGGTGGCCCAGGCCACCAGAGAGACAGCGTCACAGCTGAAAAGCACAGTGCTGCCCTCCGGCTACCAGCCTGGCCTCCAGCATCCAGCCTGGCCTCCAGCCTGACCATGCCTCCTGTTCTGGTTTCCTAGGGGAGGCCCTCAGAGCCCTTCCACCTACAGCTCTGAGATTAGGGTCCCAGTGCAGGCTGCTCAGGGACCGTGCATGGCCCAGCTGACTGCAGGGGGGAGACGGGAGTACCCCAGGGTGGGGATTGCACTCACCTTGGACGACGTCTCGCACTTTCTAAACCATCTCGTGGTCTCTCCGCTCTCTCTCTCTTACAGAATACAAGGTAAGCGGGGCCGCTCCCACACTGACCTCCGTGCCGCGCCACACCTGCCCAGGTTAAAAGTCCTTTCTGTTGTGCTTTCCCTATGAAATGTGTGTGTCAGGTGCAGACGCAAGTATGTATTCTCGGTGGCCTTCTGCTCAGATTTTTGGTGCCAGCACACACTTGCTTCGTGAGGTGACCCTGTGATTTCCTCCCCCAACAGATCTATCCGTATGACTCCCTCATCGTCACAAACCGAATTCGAGTGAAACTGCCCAAGGATGTGGACCGGACGAGACTGGAGGTAAGCGGGGGGACTGCCAGGGCAGGGGACTCATTTCTCGTGTGAGAGTCTCCGCAAATGCCTCCTCTGTGGTGTCAAGGTCATTGCCCGAGGGGCCACCGTGGGGGACAGTGCAGAGCCTTGCCATGACGCAGAGTCGGGGGCCCACGTTGCCTCAGAGGCCAAACGACATGGTGATGTTCTCCAACCTTGACGACTTTGCAAAGAAGACCACCTTGGTTTGTGGATGGGGCAGGGAAGGCTTTGTAAGGATAATAAGCTCTGGGCTGGGCACGGTGGCTTACGCCTATAATCCCAGCACTTTCGGAGGCTGAGGTGGGCAGATCACTGGAGGTCAGGAGTTCGAGACCAGCCTGGCCAACATGGTGAAACCCCATCTCTACTTAAAATACAAAACTTAGCCGGGCATGGTGGCGGGTGCCTGTTATCCCAGCTACTTGGATACTGAGGCGGGAGAATCACTTGAACCTGGGAGGCGGAGGTTGCAGTGAGCCAACACGGTGCCACTCCACTCCAGCCTGGGCGACAGAGAGACTCGGTCTCAAAAAAAAAAAAGAAGAAGAAGAAGAAGCAGCTCTGCAGTAGGGGCCTGTTCTCTCCTACTGAGACTGAGTAAACTGCCCCAGCTTCCCACCCAACCACATTTACGCCCATCTAAAATAACCGGACCTATGCAGAAAGCAAGTGTGCGTTTCGAAACCCCAGCAAGATGTCGGCACAGAGTAGGTGTTCGAATCAGATCTGTTGACTGAGAGAACTGACTTAGCTGAGTAGCTACTCTGTGCCCAAAGTGGCATGTGCAATCCTCCATTACTCCTCACAAGCGCCCTGTGGTGTCCCAGCATCCAGCCAGGGGGTTTCATCTCCTGAGCCCCGCCGTGAATGTGCTGCTGCGTTTTAGTAGACTCTCTTGCTAGAGTGAAGGGTCTTGAGGCTCCTGAAGAAAGGGGACACCCAGCCCCATCCGAGCCCCAAGGCTGGAGAGTGTGTATGGCCCCATGTGCAGAGGGCCAGCTGCCAGGCCATGCCCCAGCTGCCCACCAGGCAGTGGCTTAGTCCACTTCTGGGGAGGGAGTTGGAGGGCGTGGACGCAGCTGAGGGGCAGTGGTTGTCCGCTGCTGGGGAGGGAGTTGGAGGG